AAAACATCTGGAGTGGCGAAGGTTGCCTAAGTGTGCATACAATACTCGCAGTAGCATTCAATACAGAGAGACCCATACAACATACAGTGCCAGAAACAATTCACGTAGCATAATGCAGAGATACCCATACAATACATAGAGATGAACAACACTTATCAGTGTGGAAGACTATACCACCATCACTTCTGATGTGAGGCCATCTAGTCTTCTACATAGGAGTGACATTCCTGTGTCAAAAAGGATCCAGCAACTGTGATGCACCAAAAATGATCCAGTAACTTTGATCCAGGACCACAGTACTGCTGACACGTGTCATTCCAGTGTCAAAAATGACGTGGAACGCTCTGACCTTTCTTGAGATTATAGCCATAATGATGCAGACACTGCATAATTGCTCACCTGTGACATTCTGGCACTGTGCTGATGACATCAGATGCCAAGCCTGTATAATTTCAGACCACTAGGAGTTCTGTGCCCTGTCTGTAATAGCTCAAGAGTGCGTTTGTTATCCTTCTCTGTTTATCTGGTTACTGGCGTCTGGCTTGTCTGGACTATTCTATCTCTCTAATCCTGACCTTTGGCTTGTTTACTACTATTGTGGTTTCTCTGTTCTCCTTTGACCTCAGATTTTCCTTTGACTATTCCTATGCTTTCCAAAGAAGAAAACGATGTCCCATAGGTGTGTCAAGGGAACTTTGAAGGGGGTAACCCACTTTAGTATACTATTCCTATGCTTTACCTGATTAAGCATGGCCATTCTAAGGACCGATATGACTAATTGGCACTTTTACTATTATATATTTGCGTTTTAGGTATCCGTACTATCCTGACAGGGCCAGTGCTGTATTTAGTGCGAGGCTGGCAAGGCATTTGCCTTGGGCGGCACTTTCAGGGGGGCTGCAGAAAAGCCGCCCCCAATCACCTTGGCACATGCCTTGCCAGTCTCTTGTCCTGTGGGCCCCCCCGGGGCTGACATGCACTGATGTATGAGGCAAGCAGCGAGGGAGCACCCTCCCCTTTGCTCAACTCCCTAGCACGCACCACAGTGATGCCGGAGCCGGAATATGATGTCACTCCGGCAACAGCATCACTAAGAGGCACGCAAGGGAGCTAAGCAGGAGGAGCTTTACATCATTTCAACTAGCCATAACATGAATATTACAGAGCTGCAGAGGACTTAAAAGATGGTGGATGCTGGGCAGCTCAGCTACACTATGCATTATGAAGTAGAAATTATTAAAGCTATTAGTGACAGTTAGCATAATGCTTCTCTTGTCCTGCCTCGGAATCCCTATCAGGCAGACGTTTGGGGAGGGAAAAGAGTAATATTCTACAATTAGATTTGAAGGGGCAAGGAGTTGTTGCAGTAATCTCTCGCTGCTATTTCCAAGATACCTTCTTGCCTTCTCTCTTGTGCCCACTTTAACCACACATTCTTGTGGTATGAGCCAATGATGGCCCCTGAATAGAGGCCAATAGTATGTGTCTATTTATGAGCACTTGCTTCTGCTGTTCAAATGGCAACTCAATGGTAGGCCCTTGAAATGTCTTCTTAAAGGAGAGTAGACCTGTGCAATACCTGCTGAAACAGGACAGATTTCAAGTCTGTCCATTTAATATGGTACAGATTTAGTTTTGACACACACATATAGACAATTGCTAGAGTAAAGGACCCCCAAAAAATGTCCCTATAAAAGAGGGACAGACAGTACGTCTGATGGAGTTTGTCCCATAGTGCCAATGATTTACAGACAACTGGGTATTTAGTGTGAAGTAAGGGGATTTTGGTGCTTAGTGAGCCAGAGATATAACTGTAGATGGTCTGGGGCTATCAATTCAGACTTCATATCTACTCATCTTTTATGTCCTATCAGTATATGACAAGCCTGATATACTCACCCATTGACACAATGGTTATATGAAAAATAGTTTTGACCATTTTGCTGTCTTGTCTGTCCAACGTTTGCCTAATTGTATCTTGCCTACAGGGCACACTGATTAAGTATGCTGGTTAATGATCTGGTCTTTATGTTTTTTTATGATTTTCTTAAGCACACTTTGTAGGTGGAATTTTGTATAGCAAGTGTTAATGATTACCTATTGTGTCCCTGTTTGCATATGGATAAATAATAAAAAATAAACATAAAAAAAAAAAAAAAAGACAAGCCTGATGTTGGGCTAGCTGAGGCATAGAGTGAGCATAGTACATTGGGCATGTAACACCCAGGCCTTCCATGGATTTAGCACTTTAGAAGAAGCATCTCCCTCTTGCCTTGCTTTCCCATTCAAGTAAAGGAGTTTATTGTCATCTGTTGATGGACAGGTTGTCTTTCGTCAATAGCAATGGGAATATATGTGAATAGATATAACAATTTTGGCATAATAATAAATTCATGCAATGCATACGACTGATCTAGGACATATGTTCTGATTAGTGATGACATAATAGTCTGTTTTGAACAAGAAGAGGACTATAATCAAACAGATGGTAAATTGAACCAGAGCTTTGAGATTAAAGAGACTGGATTCATCAGATGGAAGAAAATGGCAATTATCTACTCAAAAACGGGAAATCATTACAAATCTAGAATGCTCTGGCATTCAACAAAGGAACAGACAGTCCTTACGTAAGAAGTCCTTACGTAACAATATTGGAAAAGATCTGAAAATTAACTGTTGGTAGCTACTGTTTCCAGGACTGATATTGCCTTGGTGGTAGAGACAGAGCCAGATAACACATTAGACAACCAAGGTGACCACCTATGGCCCAGGTGGTTTTCTGTCTGGGCCTGGAGCTCTGGCTCTCAGCAAGTCCTCCTCGAGCCTGTAGTGAGATCCATCGCTCTGTTGAGGGAACGTTTCGGTCTCTACTAATATCTGGTACAGACCGCTTTAACCAAGGATCGTGCTCATCCTCCACTGGACCATCAGGGAAGTTAAGCAAGTTAGGGGCATAACATACACACACACACATTACACTGACTGCTACACACACACACACACACACACATCTGCCACCACACGCAACACTCAAGCAGCACAGACAGACACATAAAGCCTCCCCATACAACTCTCAGCCACCTCCACTACATATACTCTCACAAACACACACGCACAGAAACACTCACAGAAACAGAGTCCAGGGCTCTAGGAAAGGGTCACAATCTGTCACCCTGTCTAGAGCACTGGGCAACCATGGTAGAAGGCTTGTGCCAGAAAATTGCAGCAACCTGACAATACGATTGGAATACTGTTAAAAGGGTGATGCTGGAAAGGAATTATACAAATCGAATTGCCAGCAGCCTCATTTACAAAGTAAGGTCTGATCAGGTCTGGGATACAAGAGATCACAAGTCTACAAGTGGTTATAACTTTCGAACTTAGAGGATCAATATCATGACTATGCGGGTAGACACGAATCATCACCTACTAGCAAGAGCAAGGAGTTATTAACTGCTAGCATTGTCCATCAGAAAAGATGCCCACGAATGTAATCACAAAACCATTGGCAAGACACTGGTGATATTTTTATTCAAAAATAATCCAAATATGCCAGGATTAAATAATAAAGGGAAATGGGCCTTAACAGAGGTATTGGGAGCAACACTGAGTGCTCTGCAAAGCGTCAGACCTTGGGCAGATGAAGATTCTCTATTCATGAAGCTGCATGGCCCTCCATGTACCTTGCTTAGAAGGCCACGTATTGTCTTGATCAGGACATTGCTAAACTTGACTGTGCTCATAAGCTTCTTGCATAACTTCCAGAGAGTGGCTTTATTATACTTTTTTTTTTAAATTCTTTATTTTTGCATGTGCATATAAATAACAGACAAGCGTGCAGGGCCACGACAGCAACTGCAGGCATATTCATGGCATTTCAATGAGTGGCACTTGATATAGCACATTTTTTTTTTTTAATACATGAGAACAACAAGTTTTGTATCTTTCTAGACATGCATATGACATTCCTAAGTACTTCCAGGGTTAATAATATGTTTAGTGGATTAACAGTTATTTTTCAAGCTAGGACAACAACATTACTATCATATTATTACAGTTAGGTAGTCGCCATGAAACAATGTTAGATTAGATTAACCATGTTAATGAGGCTATAGCTTATAAGCATGTTATGCAGTATAGTAGTAGTTGGAAAATGCGTGGTTATCACCCTGGTGGATCGGGGGGTCCCTGAACTGCCTCCATGTGAAAGGGTTGGCATCCTAGTGAGTCCAAGACTATTCATATAGGTGCAGTCCAGTTTTTCCCCAGTACCTGCTCTGTTGTGACTATGTAGTGGGGAGCAAGCGTCCTTCAGAGCAGGCCTCGGAGCATGGGTTGTCTGTGTGTAATTCTGCGTTGTTCACTGTGGTCCTCCGAGGTGTAGCCTGAGCAGGGTGGGCTTGCCGCTTTTGATCATCCGCAGGTTGGTGTCCACCATGTTTAAGCGTTGGGGGTATCCGCGGAGATCTGTAGCTTTCCGGGGTGTCCTGTTAAAGGCTGAGTAGTAAGCGGGTACAGGGTTGGTCTGCTAGCAGAGGTGTTTTGCTGGGCAGATGGCACGGGAATGGTCGATGCTTGGTATCCTATTCTTCAGTGCCGCTGCTGTCACCCACCCCCTCGAGCCACTTGTTGCTCGTGTTGTTGGCTTGTGTTGTTGCGGGGATTAGCACGAACATTGGTGCTTCCCTGTGTGGCGGGATCTTATATCAGGAGTTGTTTTGTGGGTAGTGGACACTAGGAGGGAGGTTTTTTTTTTCTTTTCCTCATGCCGTCAGCGCACATGGCGCCCGCCATCTTGGAGGCAGCGGTCAGGCTCCCCGGCCTCAATTGCAGAATCCCGCTTATGGCCACTGGGTGAGCACCGGGATAACCCCCCTGGTCAATAGAGGGGGGGGGGGAACGGAGCCAGGTCTGCGCCGATCAGTGCTTTTGGCTGGGCTCTGTGGTGCAGGATAGTGAGGCAGCGGCCGTCTGCCCCGCTCACCGCCGTAGAAGGTCCGGGTTAGGGCACCGAGATCCACTCCCCCAGGAGACTGTAGCTCAGCGAGCCAGCCTCTTCCCAGGTCCAGCTGTCCCCCGGCACTGGGCATCTGTGCTGTCGGTCCACTTTAGGTTAAAGATACATGTTTTTAGCGAGTTTTCAGTAGTGTTTTGCCGGAGTCGCTCTGATTTGCAACCGTCCAGCTCGGCGGCCCGGCCCCGCCCCCCTATACTTTTTTTTTTTTAAATGTTTTTTGCTTAATACTTTGTGCACCTCTTTGTTTGTATTTTTTGTTTTTTTGATGGGGGATTATTTTAATAAAATTTACCTCTATAGATGTGGGATTTCTCTGATGGGTGGTCCCTTCACTGTATGACCAGGTGACTTATTCACACTTTCTCCAAGGTATATATGTAGTAGGCATGTGCATGGGAAAAATTTTCAGTTCGGTTCGGCATTCCGAAATTCGGGACTTCGGCAACTTCGACACTTCGGAACTTCTCTTGCAGCCGCTTGGTAGATAACTCCCTAATTACCATGGTATTAGGGAGTTATCTACCAAAAGGCTGAAAGACCTAAATTGGTCTTTCAGACAAATTTACTAATACTAAGTAAAGTTTACTTAGTATTAGTAAATTATGCCCCTACTCGCTATACCGCGAGTGTAACGGATCACCTGGCACCCCCGACTGGGTACCTCCGTTGAAGGATGCTCCTAGCGCTTCCTGAGGACTCCAAGCACTGCAGCAGACTCCACAACCACCGAACCGGAGAAGCATATGAATCCTCTCAAGCATATGAATGCTGTAGACAGTTGAATAGGAACCATACGAATAGGTTTACTCTCCTAGCAGTCAAACTGGAACAGCATACAATAAATCCTTCCCCAATAATGAGACGACACTTCACTTTGAGGGTTAAGCAGGAACTCCCTGTACTGTCACATACAGTCTCTTTTATTCCCAATCCACAAACATAGTACAGCCCACAGGGCGTTACAAAACAACCAATCAATCCGTACAATACACCCAGACACTCCCACACAAAATCCTCCCCTCTGCAGGTGATATGATTACTGAACACAATGGGTAATCTCATTATCACCGGCAGAGGAATACAGTTTTTACACAATATTTATAACTTCTAAAATATACATGTCACAAACATAAAACATAAATTTTCATAATCAATCCATTCAGGGGAACAACATATTAAAAAATGGCACGAATCAGACCAGGGGTTCAAAAGTTAAGGGAAAGTCCTTTGTGACTAAATGAAGCATGGCTTTCTGGCCCAAACCAGTTTCAGAGTCTTCTATCCTGGAGAGTAATTCAATTATCTCCCAGGACAGACACAAGACTCCATTAAGCACATGGTTGCAAAAAGACACAAAACACTTTAAAATACATAAAGTCACATTTACACATAACACACAGACATTTCACCTATCCCTAGATAGCTGGGATCTGAGCGCACAAAACTACTGAAGAGCGCTCAGATCCTATTCACACAGTTCAATTGCCATGGAGCCGAAGTCTTTAACTACACAAATGGGCTCCATGGCATAGCTATCTGGGTTAACACATTCTCATAAAGTCTGGTCCATAGTCCAAAGGCAAGAGGCGGGCAAGCAGCCCCCTCCAAGGACACGTGGCGAGGCCGGTTTCGCCACAGCGAGTAGGGGCATGTCTAGTAAACAGTGAGCAGCCTGTGGTTGCTCACTGTTAAAAAAAATAATAAAAAAAAGAGAGTCCCCCCTCCCGAGCCCCCATCTGCAACGCGCGAGTGGGGGCTTTTAAACTAAAGGGGGGGCCTATTGCCCCCCCGGCCCCCACCTCTGAGCCGTGGGTGGAGGCCTAAATTAGAATGAAGGGGGGACCTATTGGCGCCCCCTGAGCGGTGTGTGGGGGCCATAAATACTAATTAGGGGGGACCTAATGTCCTCCCCCTTTGCCCCACCTGAGCGGTGGGTGGGGGCCCTAAATTAGAATGAGGGGGGGACCTAATGTCCTGAGCCCTAAATAAAAAATTAACCCACCTCCCCCAGGTGACTAGGAGTCCCCAAAACCCTAGTCACCCCCTCTCCCCCACAAAATTAACCCCTCATTATTTTCAGTGTGAGGGGGGAACATTTAACTAAGTACCTGTAAAAAAATAAAATAAAACTTACCATTTGATGTTTTCTTTCTTCTAAAATCTTCTTTTTTCAGCTTCAAAAAAGGCCAAATAAAAAGCTATAATAACCAACGCACTTTAAAAAAATAAAAAAAACAAGCACAATTTTTTTTTTATCCATCTTCACCCATGGAGGGCTCCATGCAGACTGAGCTCTGCAGGGCGGAGGAAGGCTTATAAAGCTTTTCCCCCGCCCTGCAATTAGGCTCAGAGCACTCTGATTGGTGGGTTTAAGCCATCCAATCAGAGTGCTCTGACAGGTAAATGAAGAGACTGACAGGTAAGTCTCTACATTTAACTGTCACAGCACTCTAATTGGTTAGCTTGAAATCCACCAATCAGAGTGTTCTGTGTCATTTTACACAGCGTGGGAAAGTTCTTTGGAATTTTCTAAACGCTGTGTAATTTGACTCATAACTCTCTGATTGGTGGATTAAGTAACCAATCAGAGTGTTATGAGTCAAATTACAATTACACACCAATACCTGTCAGTCTCTTCATTTACCTGTCAGAGCACTCTGATTGGATGGCTTAAACCCACCAATCAGAGTGCTCTGAGCCTAATTGCAGGGCGGGCAAGGCTTTATAAGCCTTCCCCCGCCCTGCAGAGCTCAGTCTGTGCAGGGCCCTCCATGGGGGAAGATGGATAATTTTTTTTTGCGCTTGTTTTTACAGGTACTTAGTTAAATGTTACCCCCTTATTATTTTTAGGGTGATGGGGGGTAGGTAGGGGTTAATTTTTTATTTAGGGCCCCCACCCGCCACTCAGGGTTGGGGGCCAGGGGGAGGACATTAGTACTTAGGCAATACTGTGCTTCGGAACTTCGTAAATTCTGTAATTTCGGAACTTTGGGACCTCAGCAATTCGGCACTTCGGCAATTCGGACATTTGGAAGTACCCGAAGGTCCGAATTGCCCGAAATTTGTCCGAATTCATATTCGGGCCAAAACGAATTGCAAATGTCTAACATGTAGTAGTACTGCTATTTTGATATGTAACCCCATGATGCCTGCTACATTTTCTTTTTTGTTTTCTACAAACCTAGTTTAGTCTCCTCTGTGTTTTATGTTTTCCTCCTTTATGTGGTGCCTCTCAGAGGTCCGTCATTAGCTCAAATAATCTGGCAATTGAGTATCTTTGATCTTTTATAAAACGAAAAGCAATCTTTTTCCTAATTGTGTTTTTTTTTTAAATTGTACCATACAGCTGCATCGCTTTATTGTCTACATCAGTGGTTCCCAAACTGTGTGCCACAGCGCTCCTAGGCACACAGGAGCACAGAAAAATGTTTCCCTGGTGCTATGATAATGGCACCCGGAAACATTTCTGCTGAACAGGGGCCTGGTCAGGCGCCGCAGCCCTTTAAGACCGCAACCGGGCCCCTGTAGTGTCAGCAGGCTGGGAGGAAGTGACAGGCTGGGATGCAGCAACAGCATGAGTGGAGAGGAGCAGGAAGAGCTGCTCCAGATCCCTCACTCCACCAGCCAGCAGCAGGACCAGCAATCAAGGCATCCTCCTGGACACACAAGGTAAGCTAACAGGAGGGTGGCTGCAGATATAAAAAATATCACTTGTATGTGTTTATGTCAGATTGTGTGTGTGTGTGTGTATCAGGGTGTGCATCTGTGTGTATATCTGCCAGTGGGCTTATCTGTGTATCTGTGTCAGGGTTAAGTCTATGTGTGCGGAGACATCTGTGTGTCAGGATGTGCATCTGTGTATGTGCACCTGTGTGTTGGGTGTGTGTTTTTATGTCAGTGTGTGTATCTGTATCATGGTGTGTGCATGTGTCAGTGTTTGGGAGTGTCAGGGTGCGTGTATCTGTGTGTCAGAATCTTTGTATATGTCAGTGTATGTGTGGGTTAAGGTGTGTGTATGTGTCGGTGTGTGTATATGTATCGGTATGTGTCAGTGTCTATATGAATTTGTGTGTATGTGTCAGTGTATTTATATGTATCTGTGTGTTAATGTGCATTATATCTGTGTAAGTATGTATGTATGTTTGTGGTAGTGTATGTGCATACATCTAAGCAGTCAAACACCAGCACAACATACAAACACACTCCTGCAATCTAACACAAATATTGCATACAAACACATCCCTTTACTCAAAGTACTTCACACAAATATACATCCGCATTTAAAAGTGAACATTACATTCAAACACACCCCTGTATTAAAATACTAAAACCATATACAAGCTTCCCTTCAAACACCAACATTATACATTACACTATAGTGCCAGTATATGCCGCTGTACAGTACAGTGCTGTACAGATATACAACCTAGAAATTGTGACTTGGAAGAATATTGAAATATTAAGGAAGCCTTGAACCTAAAAAGTTTGGGAACCACTGGTCTACAATATGTTTAAAAAATGCCCGCAATCGTGTAGGAACCCCCCCAGGAGATCTGGGGCGTACCTCGAGTTTCACACCGCACGGGCTGCACTAGAAATCCCGGAACTGATGAGGTAATACAACACTCACCTCACCCTTAAAACACGGCATCCCACAGACATATAGACACTATGGGGAGAAGATCCCAAAAACTACAATCAGGTGCAAGGAAAGACTTCCAAGATATAAGCGCCATGTTACAGCGCCCCACTGCCACAAAGATGGCAACCTCACCAGCCTGCACTGGGAGCCCAAACGGTTCAGAGTCATCAGCAGAGGACATGACAGGGCGTCCCCAACTCAGCCTTCACAGACAGCACCAGAGGGAAGGCAAAACCATACTCCAGCCACCAAGCAAGACATTGCGGATCTATTACACAAAATGAGACAGCTCCATGTGGCGGATCAGGAATTGCTCCGGACCGAAATAGCAGTAAAAACACGTACACAGGCCTCTGAGGAAGACATCCTAGACCTGATGCAAGAGGTGCATGGTTTTAGAGAAGCATTACAACAAATGCAATCCTCCCACGCTTCCCTAACAACCAGGGCTGACCTGACAGATAACCGCCACAGACTTAGGAGACAGGTAGTAATCAAAGGAGATGTCCAGCCCCCTAGTGCTGCAGACAAGACCAGGTAAACAGG